AGACCGGTAAGAAGTGACGGCAACAATGTAATGCATTTGAACTGCACACAGAGATAGAGACGTATTGTTGGGTCAAACGCGTGTGTCGTTCGTTGTGAATTATAGCGTTTGTTAAGTGAATTTCAAAGTTGTATTGAGAAAGAATAAACTAGTTTTATTTAAGAAAGGACTTGTATCGCTAAATTTTCTTCGGAAAGAAATTATACGGGAAATTAACTAACGACCAAAGATGTAACAATATCAATAATCTTGTTTATGTCCTCGTATCTTTATAAAAGATCGTCGTTTAGGAAGTTAATTCAATTCTACGTTGATGTTAACATTAGTAGTAGTGGATCGTTGATATAAAATGATGGACTTTTCATAACATATATCGATTAAACATTGTAGGTGCAGACGTTCCTAGTAAAGAACAAACAAATCTAGCAAATATATCATAACCTTCTTTTGATGCTCCTTTCACTGTTTTTCTTTTAATTCCTGGCCTAATTGCGTATTTGGCTTTTAATCAAATGCAGGCAATAAGTTTCTGTAAAGAAATAAGGTTGTTAGCGTTATTTTTTATTTCTATACACTCTTACCATATTATCCAACATTAGCAATTAATGTTATTGTTTTGGTTCACGTTTAGTAGTAGAAGACCTTGAACTTAATTTTTACCATTCCACGTGTATTACACCACTACACCAATGTGCTAACAACGCAGTTAATTAATATATTTTTAGGACAAGTATTAATTTAAAATATTAATTGAAATACATGTAACAACATGTTAAAGTTGGATAGCTTATCAGATTACAACAGTGATCATCACGACAGTTAGATAGCTTATCAGATTACAACAGTGATCATTACGACAGTTAGATAGCTTATCAGATTACAACAGTGATCATTCACGACAGTTAGATAGCTTATCAGATTATAACAGTGATCATTACGACAGTTAGATAGCTTATTAGATTACAACAATGTTCATTACGACAGTTAGATAGCTTATTAGATTACAACAGTGATCATTACGACAGTTAGATAGCTTATTAGATTACAACAATGTTCATTACGACAGTTAGATAGCTTATTAGATTACAACAGTGATCATTACGACAGTTAGATAGCTTATTAGATTACAACAATGTTCATTACGACAGTTAGATAGCTTATTAGATTACAACAGTGATCATTACGACAGTTAGATAGCTTATTAGATTACAACAA